AAGTTTCTACAATCATTATGCGGCCTTTCAATCATAACAACCGGTGGTGGACATAAAAATCTCTTCTCGCTCCCGTATGATTTTTGTGCAACTGTCGCGTGTTGACAGGTGACGGTGGTCATTTGATATGGACTTGATGAAGATCCGTCGATTTGATGATACTGAAGCCTTGGTTGTATTGGAACAACTTCATTCATATAATCTTCCATTGGACGTCGAATTTTGGAAAGTGACTCTTCCAAATAAGGACTACTCATTATGGAGCTATCGGTTGAATCCCACTTCCTTTTATTTGGATTTGAGATTAAGGGTGGGGGTGAATGTCGCGTTCGATCAACTTCTCCAATTGCTTGATTTACGCCTGGAAGCGGAAATGTGTTCAAGAAAATGTTGCTAGGTGGTGAAGGTTGCAAACGGGGGAATGGAATCGAATCCGTTGGTGAAGGTACAGACATTGGAGCGGATGGAAGCATGGAAGCGAGAGGAATCGGTGAGGTAGCAGGTGAAATTTTTGTCGGACTCGTCGATAGACCCGGGAAGATATTTAATGTGGTGTCTGGAGGGGTTAAAGGTGTGGAGCCTTGAATTGGCTGTTCCAAATCAATCAATGAGGAGATTGACATCGCTGCGGGTGTCAATGCGCCACTTAAATCGGATTTACGTGGTGAAGAAATGGAATTGGTAACAGGAGGTGGAAGTAAACGATTTGAATGAAACGGTGATGGTTGCTCTTGCATATGAAGATTACGTTGATTTTCATCATGTTGAAAACAATGCTTTGTTTGTTTTTCATGTGAACCGCGGTTCGTCATCGATTGTTTTTCGCAACTCCTTTCCGTGAAACGATTTTGATAGGAACATTTTGAATGAGTCAAATCAGCCGGGGCGACCTCAATGGCATTCAAAAGTGTTTCCAGATTATTGCCTCCAATGTATTGGTATCTATGGTCCAAAGCCTGTTCACCATAAATCTGAGGTTGCGGAGAAAAAAGATATTTCGGATTTTGAGACTTTGAGGAACCCAATGTAGCGTTATCCATCGTTTTTTTTTAAACGGTAAAAATGTATTTTTCAAAAAAAAAAGGGTTCTCTTTAATTTTATTTATTTGATTATTATTATTATTATTAGCTCTTTTTATTTTATAGGTTATTTGTTATTTAGGTGTTTTTTTTTTTTTTTTTTCCTTTTACAAAAAAAAAAAAAAATTTTAAAAAGGGCTTTAAAAGAATTTGGAAATTTTATTATGCGTGTAAATATGTAAGTAATGAAATTTTTTTTTTTTTTTGTGAAGTCAAAATCGCGTGTGAAAAAAAAAGAAAATCAATTGCACGGGGTGTGGTTAAATAGTAATTTTAGTTTAGTTGTTTTTTTATTAATTTATATTGTGGAGAATAATGTGGAGAATATGATTATTATATTTTATTTTATTTTTTTTTTATCAGTAAAGGATCTTTTTTTTTTTTCAATCTTTCGTATTTCCTTATTAGATCGATTGTCAACCATTCTTAACCAGTAAATACTTTGTTTATTCAAATAATCGGTTAAAAAAAGCAGGAAAAAAAAAGTTTTTCAAAAAAAAAAAAAAAAAAATCAACAGAACACTGATAAGGAAACGTTATCAGCTGTATGCTACAAACAGATAAAAAGATAAAATACCAGATATGCAAGTACAACACATCCCCGAGTCAGATTTGCACAATACAACAATTATTTATGAACCCTTCTGTAAACGAAAACTTGAATTTGAAAAGAAAAAAAACCTACGCCCTTGAAACAAAAAAAAAACTTTTTTTGAAAAAACCCACTTTTTTTTTGTATGTTTTTAGTAGAACGAACGTCTATCAACATGAAAATTTGAATATCTTCTCTGCATGAATAAACATTCTTCGTGAAACCCGCGAATCTCTGTTTTAATAGAAGTATCATATTTACTTACATTGGAATGTCATAGGATGTGCTTGCGATGGTTGATATCTGATTTAATAAATTGTCAAGTAAATAAATAAATAAATAATATATATATAACGGATTATTTTTTAATTTCATATCTGATTTCAATGTTATTGCGTGACACTTTGTGATTGCCTTTTTATTATTCAATGTCTAATTTTGAAAGTGTGGGAGAGTGGCGTGGATTTGAAATGAGGGTTTTTTTTTTATTTTTACATCTTGAATTAAAAAATTGCATGTGCTTTTTCAATAGAAAACAATTTTATTTTTTGTCCGACTGTGAATTTTTTTGATAAAAGATTAAAAAGATAATCAGCCCTTTCTTCTCATTATGTGATGATGGGACTTTCATGTCTTTCAAACTTGTCTTATGATCTTTCTTATCTTATTGAAATGAAAAAAGATAACTTAATTCACTTATCATAAATAAACTGATAATTTTAAATAATGATGTTCCAAATTTTTTTTTTATTATAAATATAGATCATCATTACACTAAAATAATCAGTCAAAAACAACAAAATGAAATTATCTTCGAATGGAATAATCCGTTGAAAAAAACACTCGAATGTCATCATAATGCATTCATAATTTTTTTTCGTGGGATACAAATTTATAATATGTCCATTTTCAGTTTTATCAATGAGCGTTTATGTGTGTGTCAAGTTTTGGCCAGAGTTATGTAGATCACCCTTCAAATCATCACCAAGAAATCATATAGTAAACGAGGTTGAAATCTAGATGATTACAAATAATTAATTGAACATTTTCCCGCGGTAATATAATGAGAAAACCTGATAAAACCTTATCAGTGGCGTGTCATTATTATTATTATTATTAAACCTCAAGTATATCGAAACCTAAAATAAAGTGTGACAAGATAATATCATACATTCAAGATGATAAATAATAATCACTCATCGGGAAGGGTCTTATCAATTATCGACATCAAGTAATTGGCCAGATTCTCATCTCGATGATTCCACGAAATATTAAGAGAGTTGGTATTATCGTCCGATACACTTATTAGCATGCTTCTTATCTTTATCTGTGATGGTTTCTTGGTTACTTCCGTACTTGACATTTTTCCTCTAAGAGCTTTCGTTACCGCTTCATATACGATTTCCAAAGCTCGAACGCGGATGTCAGCGTGAGGTGACGCGTCAAGATTTTTTTGTATCTTGTTGGGATTAAAAGTCTTAATAAAGTCAAACGTTAACTCTCGTAATGGTAGGTTTGCATCGCGCATCGCTTCATCGGCATTCATTAACCTCGGTATTCGATCCGGTTCCATTGACAAAACACCTTGTATAGGAATCTCATTCACGGGCTTGATCCGCGTAATGTCAATTCCCTCATCCGATGTGGTGAAAGGAAGCTTTTGTGCGGCTTGGTGACGTTTGAGCAAATCAACCGAAATATCAACCGGTATGGAGAGAGGTGTATTGATAATTATGGTTTCTCCGTTAGCCGGTGAAAAACATGGAATCTTACATTCACGTTTAATCTTCTCTTGTAGAAATTCCATCTTTGCCTTCTCCCCGTGAACCAACATTACATTTCTTGGGTCGCACTGCTTTATAAGTTGTAAAATTCCCTTGGCATCAGCATGCGCGCTGAAAGACAAATTTTTCACTTGTATATTTACAGGGATCTTATTGTAAGCATCTATATAAATCTCCTTATCCCCGTTGAGGACCTTTGCTCCGACGGTACCTGCCACACAATATCCGGGCATGATGACCATATTCTCCGGATGTGGTGCCCACTTCTTAAAGACTTCCAAGGATGTGCCGATGTGTAACATACCAGGGGTAGCGAATAAAACCGCGGGACCCGGTAAATCCATATATTGTCTATCCCAGGGTTTAATATGCTTAAAATCGAACATATTTCGTTGTACAAAAGTATTTTTAATTTTTTCATTCGTCCAATTAATAAAAAGTTTATAATAATCATTGGCCTTCTCGGTCATACCGGCGGAGAAGTAAACGGGTACATTAAGATTATTCCTTTCCCAATACGTTTCAATTAAGATACAAAGCTCTTGAGCACGTCCAAGAGCAAAAACTGGTATGAGAACCTTCCCTCCTTGTGAGACGCAATCATGAACTTTCTTTAAGAAGTCACCTTCACGTGTTCTTTTAGAATCACGTATAGTGGTGGCATAAGTTGACTCGGTTATTAACAGGTTCGGACGTACTTTATCTATCCACGCCGCGCCCAAGTGTCGGTCAGGAGTCATGTTGTAATCTCCCGTGTAAACTACCGATTGTGAACCCACGCGTACATAAAACATGGCCGCGCCCAAGACGTGACCAGCATAAAATGCTTTGATTTCTAAATCATCATCACCATTAACTTTAATCGTCTGATGAAGGTTTACCGCTGTGACCTTCTTCATACAATTTTTAATCATTTGAGACGTGAAGAAATTCGTTTCCCCCTTTCTTTCGACGGTAATTTTTCGATAATCCTCAAGTAAAATGGGACAAATGGCTTTGGTGGGATGTGTCATATAAATAGGTCCTTCGTAGCCACACATTTCAGTGAAATATGGCAAGGCACCTTAAAGAGAAACGATCATTAAGGACTAAAAATGAATCAAGTATGAAAAAGATAGATTAATTGAAGATTTGGGATAACTTACCACAATGATCCAAGTGAAAATGACTTACTATGATACAATCCAATTGCTCAGTGAATCGATTTGTTTTGGAAATATACGAAAAATCCGGAAATCTTCTATCATCATTATAACCCATATGCATTCCACAATCAAACATTATATTTTTAGTTCCCGTACTATCATCACCCATAGATATAAGAATACAACTACGCCCGACATCTTGACCTGCACCGAGTGGTATCACTTTTATCATTGATATACAATTTTATTTATTTATCAGAAAATAAAAACTAACTTGCGTTATTGTCGTACGTAAGCGTGTGGATTTTCTTTTATCCAAAAAAAATCGTGGTTACACACGCCGAAAATATCAAAACCAGTTCACGACTTTTTTTTATTTGCTCACAACATTATCTTATCATGTTTTTGACAAGGTCAGAGTACGATCGCGGTGTAAACACTTTCTCACCTGAAGGACGTTTATTTCAGGTTGAATATGCCATTGAGGCTATAAAGGTACTTTCAATCACGTCTGATAATTTGTTTGTTTTTATCTATTTTTTATTTTATTTCTTTATTCTTTTTTAATTGAAACAATATTTATTTTTTAAATAGTTGGGTTCCACCGCGGTGGGCATTCAAACTTCTCAGGGTATCATCCTAGCCGTCGAAAAACGCATCACTTCTCCATTATTGGTAGCAAGTAGCATTGAAAAAATTATTGAGATTGATTCGCATTTAGGGTGTGCTATGAGTGGGTTGACTGCCGATTCCCGAACAATGATCGATCACGCCAGAGTCGCAGCGCAAGTTTGTATCTAAAGGATGATTTTTCAATAAAAACTTCAATTGACTTTCAATTAACATTATTGTTTTGCAAAATTGTAAAAAGAATCATAATTTTACTTATAACGAAAAAATTAAAGTCGAATCCGTTACACAAGCTGTATGCGATTTGGCTCTAAGGTTCGGAGAGAGCGCTCATGGTGAAGAATCAATTATGGTTTGTTTTTTTTTTTAAAAAAAAAAATTTATTTTAATTTATTCATATGTTACAAATTAAAATGTATATTTGTTGAATAAAGAGTCGACCTTTTGGAGTAGCCTTGTTGATTGGCGGTGTCGATGAGAAGGGACCTCAGTTGTAAGTACAAATTAAGAAAAATTTCTTCATATTCTTTGATGCATTGTTCATTAATTCTATTCGAAACATGTAAAAGATTTCACGCAGATCCATCTGGAACTTTCATGCAATATGACGCGAAAGCCATCGGGTCTGGATCTGAAGGTGCACAGACTGAGCTACAAGAAGAATATCACAAAGTAAAAATTTGAATAATTAAAATGTCTTCATAAGTTCCTTAAAATAATATTAATAAATAACATATTTATTTTTCAGTCTCTCACTCTAGTGGATGCTGAAACTTTGTCATTAAAAGTATTGAAACAGGTAATGGAAGAAAAACTGAACAAAACCAATATTGAGTTGGCATCTATCACATCAGAACATGGATTTAGAATTTATAGTGAGGATGAATTACAAGCTGTGATAGATAGATTATAATTAATATGGTCTTGACCATATTATAATTTGGGATCGTATATGTATATTACCAAAATTTAAGAAATAAATTACAATGAATTATTATTATTTTTTCTTTTTTTTTTTTTTTTTTTTTGAAAAACGGCATTACAAATTAATTATTATCTATTTGATTGACTTATAATACAATTTTTTGTTCCCCAATGAATTGGAGATAGGTAATGAAATTTGCGTTCCAAAGTGAGTTCAGAAATTGAGCGCACATATAATACAATTGAGCTCAAGCCTTCCTTCAGTAATAATTCCTTTTTTTTTTTTTTTTTTTTTTTTTTATAAATAAAATATTTTTTTTATACGCCATATGAGTTTAACAAATTATCTTCCTCTTCGACTAAAGCAGCCATTTCATTATTTTCCAATAGATAATTTGTATTTCCATTTTTGCTAGGTTGCAATAAATTATCTAATAAAAATTTAAGATCCAACCCAACCTCGCGTAGCTAAAATATATATATATATATATATATATAATACGTAAGTTTCAAAAATAATTCATATTCGAAGGAAGGAAATATGATGCTTTACCATTAAACAATGATCTCTTGCGTATCTCAAACATTCTTGTACAATTCTGTCATCGCGATTATGCAAACTATATACTTGTCGTCTAAACATATTTGCATAATGTTCCATCTCCTCTTGCACCCACTTGACAAGACCTATTAAAACCAAGGTTAACTTTTTATACATTAGAATTAACCGATTAATCTAGGGATAATAGTTACCCGAAGCCATCCTCATGTCTCTAAAAGAAGCATTATACCAGTCACACGTGTTTTTGATTAATGTAAAGTATACTAGTGATAATTCATTAATATATTGTGGTATATCACCCTCAAATTTTAATTGTCTAGAAAATCGAATAATTACACTTGAATACTGCAGATTCAAATTTCTCGCGAAAAAAAAGGAAAAAAAAGCCGAGCTTACTTTGTTCTTATCCGAATATTTTCGGTTCTCGCAATAAGGAACAATTCTCGTGCCTAGATCAAACTTTGAAGTTATTATAACTTAATCGAAATGATAAATTATAAGTTTGTTATGATATCTACCTGTTCTCCGTATCCAAGACGAAATAACCATCGCACACATTTCTGTACATGCGATTTTTTCACGTCAGGATTTGTGAGATCACGACTAATAGCAAGGGACAATCGAACAACGCGATCTTCCATTTTCGTACGAATCGCATCCAGCTTTGTAGAATTTGAAGTAGATACGTTAGTGAGAGAATCCTTTGCTATAATTCATAATATTAATTAAATTTTGATTAACGATTGTTCTACTAGTTTGGTTGAACGTTCCTTGTGAAAAATAACAAATACCTTTTTCAATATTCTCGACAGCTTCCTCAAATTCTCGCGTTGCAATATGAACATCCAACTCATCAGCCAAATCTTCAATTTCGCGAATATTATCCATTGTGAGTTCTTTAGGAGTTTTTACTGGTAACTTTGGAACAGATTGCCTTACGGCTCTTAATGATGGTGGTGGACCTTTATTCTTTCTTGAAAGAGTTCTTATGAGTGGAGTATGTTGTTGCTGTTGTGATTTCTATCATAATGTGATTAGAATTTTATTATTAACAATTTTTTTCACATTCGTATTGATAAGTTTTAACGCGCTTACTGCGGCCATCACAGAATCTAACAAATTATTTCACAAGTTAGAACTTGGATTAATATAATATAATATATACAAGAAACACTTTCAAGCATACCAGCATGTTTGGCGGCTTTTGCTGATATCATTTCGTCAGTTGCACGTTTGGTCATGCTTAATAAATTTTTTTTCTCTTCAGCATTTCCAGCTTGGAAAATAAATTGATCCGTGGGATGTTTCAAAATTTTAATGAAATTCACTTGTTCTAATCGAACGGAAGAAATTTTTTAAATTGACTTTCAAACGGATGCATTATTATGCGTAAAAAATCAAACTTTGTACAAAACCTTCAGTATCTTTCACGTCCATCAAAGTTATATCCTCCAAAGAAAAACATCGATCAGCAATTAATTTTGCCTTTGAAGTATCTTTGGAAGCTTGACGCTTCTTTTTACTAGCAACCAATAAACAATCATTTAGTAGAAAAATATGCACAGACTGTTTTGGCTTATTAGTACTAAAACTAATTTCAACAAAAGTAGAACACTCGCGAAGTATGTGTCTTCCAGGTTCCAACGACACAAAGTTCTGGGAAAAAAAATAAGAACCCTTTCAGCTTTTTTTTTTAAAAATAAAAAAAGTTTAATTTAAAGAGAGATTAACCTGAGCACCTTCCACACCCGCCCAAAGTTGTTGAATTTGTGCTTTCCAAATTGATTGCATATCAGTAGCATTATTTAAAGTCGGGTTGCGCCTTCTTGGTACAATTGGCTCTGAAGTTACTGAAGTCACTATATATTGAATAGTAATTAGTAATTTTATAATGTAAATTACTATCAACATAATATAATAAAGATTGTTATCAATAAAAATAATAAACATACCGGGCCCAATATTACCGGATTCTGTACTATCATCTCTTAAATTATCACTCACGTTGCGCAACTCATTCAAGAGTCCACGCAATACAAGCATATCACTTTCTAACTGTAAAATATGATCCATCTAGGTTAAGAATAAACATATTAAAGCCTTTGAACTAATTCTATGATCTGGTGCAAATATAAAGAAAGGATATTTGATATCTCTTGGGATATTGTCATGAATTCATTATAGTTCTTATACACATTTCTTTGCAAATCGCTAGCCGCTAAATCTTTTGATTCTTGTAATGCGTCCAAAAAAGCCCTCACCCCTTCTTCTGTGGCAGTAGATAATGCCTTTTGGATATCTGACCACGATGTTTATTTTAAAAAAATACATATAAAGATTCAATAAATCTGGTTTCTTTTAAAAAAAAAAATCCTTGATCATAAACGTACATGTTTCAGGTCTAAAATCATCGCCTGCAAATTCCACTATATCAATAGCAGGTGGTTCCCTTATTTCCTCATCAGGTGTGTAAAGTCTTCCAGGACTAAGATTATTATTGTTCCATTTCCCTTCAGCTTTTAAACCAGCGCGACTCATTTTTTTCGAGATAAAACCAGGTGAAGACGGGGAGATACTTTTTTCGATCCCATTTATTGCATTAGCTATGCGAATATTGATGCCGCGAGGTTTGCTATTTGACATTTGACTATTCAGACTATTCATGGTTTTTGTAGTTAAATAGTAGGTAGGTATGGCTTTAACAGGAAGCAAAAGATACTCTGCGTGGAATTTGATGCCCAGCAAGGAAATTCGACCGCCAAAAAAAAAAATGAGAGTTTTTTATTCGACTCGCACAACAAACTAAATAACCCCACTTTTGTACGTTAAAAACTTTAAATGTGTGGCATAAAATGAATTCCGAAATTCACGTGATTTCCGCGGAATAATCTAAATCTCTGAAAGGATTGGCAGAATGCTTAAAATAAACCAGCTTTTGCCTTGATCAACATGCGCCATCAATAGGATTGTCTCGCAACTGTCGTTTAATATGAAAGTTTATTCAATTGCAATTTACTCCAAAGATTCTTATAATGAAGTTATTCGGTTAACAGCAGAGTACGACCTCTCAAGTTTTGGTTTCTTTCAGCGTAGCACTGTTCAGGATATTATTATGGTAATTTCCAAAGCAATTGCAGCGGGAACGAAACCCGGTCAAAGACAACGCGTTGAAGAACAACGTAATGAAATCTTTATTTCTAATTACTTTTTAAAACCTTATATATTTCGGATATTAATGGATCAATTATCTTTATAGCCTATGTAGGTTATGTTTACTCTCGTTCCGACATTCCTCTTACAGGAGTTATGATTACAGATGAAGAATATCCACAACGTGTATCATTCTCTGTATTGAACAAAATTCTTGACGAATTCCTCATAAAATTTCCTCATAATGATTTTTCTAAACTTGGTACAATCTCTTACCCAGAATTGAAAACCTATATAGTTAAATATCAAGATCCTAAGCAAGCAGATCAGATTGTAAAAGTGCAAGAACAATTGGATGAAACTAAACAAGTCATGGTAAAATCAATGGTGATCTCGTAATTGAACTTTTGAAAACGAGACTATTTTTTGTAATTATTTTGTTTATTATCAGAATCGAACAATTGAGTCTCTTTTACAACGTGGGGAAAAGTTGGACGATTTGATAGATAGGTCACAAGAAATTTCTTTTCAATCTAAAGCATTTTATAAACAAGCTAGAAAGGTTAGTATTGTTATTTGGAATTTTAAATAACAAAATCAATTTTTAATATATTTTATTTTTATTTTTTTTCATTAAAAGACAAATAGTTGCTGTACTATTTCATGATACCCACTTAGACGTATAATATGGTTCCAATACTCGTTTTTCTTTTTTTTTTTTCATCTTTATTCGTGAATTATTTTTAATGTCTATTAGTTTTCGGTAAAAAAAAATATAATATATTTCAAAATTTTTTTTTTACGGAAAATTAGTTTATAATCCTATATTTACAATCCTATTAAAAGTTCAAATAAAAATTATTCTTTATTTTTATTTCTCGAAGTTTATAAGAAAATAATGCAAATTTATACAAGTACAAAAAGAGAATGATCAAACAAAAATAATAAAATAAATCTTGGATATTCTTTTGGCTCATCGTTATCTTGTTGTTTTGGCCCATTAGGCTGCTTTGGTTCGTCACTCTTTGGTTGTTCTTTCGACACATCGTTCTTTGGTTGCTCCTCGGGCTGTTTAGGTTCTATCTAATACCCTTTTTTTTCTTTTTTTTTTGAAAAAATAATAATGATAATGATAATGTACTAATATACATAATTGTAATTACAAAACCCCCAAAGGGTCATCAACTGGCACTACAGGTGTATTGGTTGTAAAGATATGACTACTCGATCTTTTTTCATTGCTTGATGAAGCTGATCCAATACTTTCACTTCTTTCT